TTTAACAATTACACTTTTTCACTAGTGTATACTATAGTTTGTATTAAAAAGCCATACCATTACTTTGGTTTCGAGTTCATCGGTTTCATGCTCTTCTTGATATATTGGTCTCGTGTTTTCTTCGCTGGAAGAATACAATTCTTTCAAGTATAACGGGGAAGGTGCTTCCTGTTCATTTTAATAAATACTAGATCATCATTGTTCTGGTAAGAGAAAAAAAAAACAAATTGCAACTAAATATTAGTTACCTCGCGTAGTATGCACCCAATGTGGCCTAGAAAATCACATTCTTGACATGAATAAGCATGATGTCCTGCGTATATCATTGTCTCGCAAACGCCACAATACTCCAAAAAATCGTCATCAGCTGGGAGTAGTTCGCACACGAGTGGGTGAATGTGATGTGATTTTCTGACCACATACTCTGGTATGTCAAGACACTCAAAATGGAAATTCAAACCACACTCCATGCAGCAAAAGAAGGAGTCAAGAAATATCACACTACTTCTCGTGCATATTTGACATGGACTATCTTCTGTGAAATATCGGCGAGCATTAGTTCTATAAATCAGTTTGTGCTGATGAGACTTATGCATCAGACTTCTCAACACGGAATCCAAACACCTAAAGTGAACATCAAAATCACATTCTAGACAACCAAATGGGACACTATCAATATTTTCCCGGCATACATCACACCGAGGTTTTCGTGTGAAATCAAGACGTTTGAGAGGGTGTGTAGGATGAACAGTATGTTAAATCTCTCGGGGAAGATCAATGCAACGCTCGTGAACAAACGAGTAACAATAAACGCAACCGTAGCATATTGTCGATGGTGAGAGAGAAAGCTCACAGAGAAGGCAAAAGCCTTTAGCGTCTGGTCCTGGTCTACTTCTTCTAAGCAAGTGGCAATGGCTGTCATGGAGCAAATTTTTGACATCCCAGCCCCTGAAGATGTTCTCTTGAATGGCACAATCAAGATCCAAATAAATCTCACACTCTTTACACTCGTAGAAGGAGGTTGAAGACATGTTCCCACACCCTGAGCAGACGATGTGTCGCGGTTTCTTATCATATTGGTGTAGACAAAACTCCAGAGGATGATCGGGATGGAAATCGTGTGATACCATCTGCGGCAGTTCAGTGCAAGCTTTACAGAGATTGAAATTGCAAGGGCTACATGCCAACTCGACCATCTCATCTTTGTAGCAAATGCTGCAAATTCCGTCTGCGACGATCTTCGGCAAAGTCAATGGATATTCGTGGGAGAAATGCTGGAGCTCTGCCCTCGACGAAGGGAGCACGGAAGTCAACGAGAGAAACGCAAGATCAGATGTTTTTAGTTAAGTTTTTAAAATATTAGGAAGAGTAAGAGCATCATTAACGGTAAACCCATTAAAAGATCTTAAATAATTTTTTAATATATTAGAAATCTTTTGACACTCTCTCATGACCTATTTCATTAAACTCTTTCTATAGAACATTTTCAAAAAAAGTTCATTAAATTAAATAATTTTTTAATCACTTTGGCTCTAAGACACTCTTCAAGAGGGTTACCATTAATGATGCTCTGAGTGAGTAACCACGAAGAAAATAAAAAAAAAAAAACTCTTATAAAAACCACTAAAGGCAAATTTGGAAAATTGCCACACTCATTAGGTCCTAATACACTTTAAATTTCGAAAATTGTCACACTCATTATGTCCTAATACACTTTTAAGTAGTAAGTTGTGTCTCATTATAAAGTGAAATCCATTTTTTGCCCTTAAATTTTATTAAAAGTTTATTTTTGTTAATTTAAAAAATTGTTTTAAACAAATTAATAAAAAATTTCAATTACTTTTAATTAAAATGATAGGAAAAATTCCTGAAAAATATTCAAATTTAATTTTATTTGCTGAAAAATATCTTAATTTATTTGGCTGCCCGATTAATATCCCAACTATTTAAGATTGTTTTTTAAATACTCGAACTTTCAAAATGTGTTGGTTTTATTACTTTTACTACATCGACATTAACGGGGTTAACCCGACTAAACTTTATAAATGCTCTTAACAGAAATTTTGCACATGTTATTAGGTGCAGTAAAACCTGATTGTGCCCTTACTCATTTTTCCTAAATCGTTCTCGAGTTCATATCGACCTAATTTTCTTTCTCAAAATCGAAAGAACAAATTCAGCATACGACATTGAGTGACCATATGGCCTGAAAGGAGAAGAGAACAAGAGCTGGACCGATTCGATTCGATTCGATTGGTGACAACGTATGAGAAAAATTGGAGAAGATGAGGTATGTTCGAATACGAAATTCTTATTCGATTTGGTTGTTTCTGATTTTGGGGATGCGATTGTGATGTCGTATTTGTCTGGACCGATTTTGTATATGATATTGTGTGAATTCTTCGATATCATGTTTATTAGTTTTCGATTAGCTAGCTGTTTTCACAAAAAGTCCAAAATTGACAAATGTTATACCTTTTATGCAGTGGAGATGCGTCATTGAAAGTTAATGTGCGTTATGGAGGAAAAATGTATTACAAGGAATGTATTACAAGGACTGTAGGGGTCAAAATGTATTAAATGTAAATCAATATCTAAAAATTGGCTAAGTACTGGAAAATGTTAGTGGATTTTCTGCGAAAAATTCTTAACAGGTTTTTCCGCGGAAATTCTTAACAGGAAACCCGCGGAAAAACCTTATTTTCTCATTTAACCCGATCCGCGGCTAAACCATAAACTTAACCTGCGAGATGGTGACAACGAGAAGTGGACCGAGCCGCGAAAATGGGCCACAACATCCAGAAGTGGGTCGAGTCGTGAAGAGAAGCCCACAGCATGTAGCCGATTCCGCGGAGAGAGTATCCTGCAGAATAAGGAAGGCATCTTTATCTCCTCGACAGAAGCCCTAGCCGCATAATAAAGCTATATATATGTTTGTTAGCCCTCATTGAAAGGGATTTGGAGTTTTCACAGAAACACTTATAACATTGATTCGCAGAAACATCAATAAAGAAAACCTATCTTCTTATTTTTTGCATTATGTGATTCGTAACATAAAAATCTCTGTTCAATTAGACTAGCACAATTAGATTTGTAAGGGTTTCGAGAGGAAGCAGAGATTTCTAAGTTAAGCTACGAGAGAAAACGATGAGCAAAGAAAATTTTTTATTGCTGTGTATGTTTTTGTGAACAAAGTTGCGGATCCCCTTTACAAGAGTTTGTACATCGATATATATAGTTCCCTAAGTCGGCTAGGCCTTTCCATAAAAGATAATGTTAAATTTCCTAAGTCTTTGCGGATTCTCTTTTCCTTATGTCGGTGCCGTCGAAGTGGGCTTCATAATTGGACTGGGCCTTAGCGCAGGGAACCTCCTGGTCTTTGTCGTTACTCTGGCAGTGTTGACACCGCTGGCAGTGTTGACATCGCTGGCAGTGCTGACACCGCTTGCAGTGTTGACATTGCTGGCAGTGCTGACATATCTGGCAGTGCCGTCATCGCTGGCAGCACGCCCTTGCTGGCTCTACACATCGCTGGCAGGACATCACTGGCAGGACATCGCTGGCAGTGTGACATCGCTGGCATTGTGTCCTCGCTGGCTTTGCACATCGCTGGCTGGACATCGCTGGCAGGACATTGCTGGCAGTGTGACATCGCTGGCATTGTGCCCTTGCTGGCTCTGCGCTCCTGACTTCTGCCGCGAGTAACGAGGACTCAGAAGGCTCCCTCCTTGGGCGGAGAAGACTTAGGAAAGGTGAAGAAATACTTCACTTTCTTGTTAGGAAATAACCTGGGAGAGTCATATAATCTCTGTATGTTAATGCGATCTCATGTCTATGCGCTGCGCTTGCATAACTTTGGACTTCAACGTTGAGCGGGTGAAATCCGACCCCAACAGTGATGAGAGCATGGAAGTCAACGAGAGAAACGCAAGATCAGATCCAATGTCGTCAGTTGAAATTTTAAGCACGGGAAAAAGTCGTTCTGTTTTTAACAAATCTTAGACCATCTCCATCAATAGTCTCTCAGGTCTCAGGATATTTAAATCTCTAAAAAATTCAAAAATTCACACCAAAAACTCTCAATTGAGATACTCAACTCAACACCAAAATTTTTTAATTTTCAGAGACCCATATAATATTTAAATATTGTTTATATTTTAATATATTTTAAGATACTCAATAAAAAACTATGGATGGAGGTGCTCTGATACAATAGCTTAACGGGCTTATCATCCCATCTCACTAACCCACGAAAAAAGAGTTTAAAATATGTAAAATCATTGTAATCTACACAAATCATGAGGTGCCTATTATATAGCTACACTAGATTTTGACTCATGCTAAGCGTGAGACTATAAATTTCAGTTTATTGCATAGTAAAAATATATTGTTTTGAATCATACCTACTAAAATATATTAGATAAATAATTATGTCCACTAAAAAAAATTATCCGATCGGTTTTCGAATCTTGAGTACCTTAATATGATATGTCTTGCGTTTAAGTGTAAACAAAAAATAAAAATAAAATGGAAGCATCATCTTATCATGTATGACAAAGAATGTAATCGAGTGATCTACATCTTATATTTACAAAAAAAAAAAAGTTTTTCAACACCATTATAAAATGTTGTTAAACCCAAATTTATCACTGATCAAAATACTAATAATTGAACCGCTTTGAGTTTTCGGGTTATTGATTTGGCAAATATATATTTTTGTCATTAATACCCTGTATATATTAAAAAATATTAAAAATATGTAGAGATTTCTACCATGGCAAATTGGAATGTTATGAATGGTTGATTTAATTAATGTGTTTCCTAAAATCCTCTTTGAATGACACCTATGATTTTTATTTTTAGTGTCTCCTCAATTAAGATATATAGGATATCCCAATCATATAACTACTAACAAGTCTAGCATATGGCTCACGCGATCAGCTGAGTTTTATTTTGATTTTTACAATTTTATTAAATACTATATTAAAGATCTGTATATATGCGGGTTCTCTAATTTGATATCTTATAAACCTATTTAAAAAATTAGTTATATAAAATGAAACTAGATCACATGTTAAGGTAAATAAAATAAAAGTGAGAACATTGTTGTAATTAAATTTTCTAATTGAAAAACATAACATTTATTTATTAATTTTGATGTGTTTTGTTATTTGATTTAGAACTAAATTTTATCACATATTTTCAAATTATTAGGTTTTCTTATTCACATTTAAATTATGTGTACTTTTTATTTTATTTTCCTATTTTACTACTTAAATATGTATTTTCAAGATGTTGATAAATTTATTCCTATATTTGTAGTTGAACTATTTTTATCCCTGTAAAAAAAAATCAAACACAAAAAAAATGGTAGAAAAAATTTGGTCACCCTATGAAATGATAAATAAAATTGAGAATGTCAATAGTTAACTAATAAACTTTATATTTTAAGTAGAATTGTTTATGACGAAAGATAATAAGGACTTGTTATAACAAAATGCAAATGTTTTTGAAAACTAATAAAAAGTAGGGGTGGACATAA